AATCACTGAAGTTTGGTCAACTCCCAGGTCGCATATAATCACTGAAGTTTGGTCAACTACCAGGTCACATATAATCACTGAAGTTTGGTCAACTCCCAGGTCGCATATAATCACTGAAGTTTGGTCAACTACCAGGTCGCATATAATCACTGAAGTTTGGTCAACTACCAGGTCGCACATAATCACTGAAGTTTGGTCAACTCCCAGGTCGCATATAATCACTGAAGTTTGGTCAACTCCCAGGTCGCATACAATCACTGAAGTTTGGTCAACTTCCATGTCGCATATAATCACTGAAGTTTGGTCAACTCCCAGGTCGCATATAATCACTGAAGTTTGGTCAACTCCCAGGTCGCATATAATCACTGAAGTTTAGTCAACTACCAGGTCGCATATAAGCACTGAAGTTTGGTCAACTCTCAGGTCGCATATAATCACTGAAGTTTGGTCAACTCCCAGGTCGCATATAATCACTGAAGTTTGGTCAACTCCCAGGTCGCATATAATCACTGAAGTTTAGTCAACTCCCAGGTCGCATATAATCACTGAAGTTTAGTCAATTCCCAGGTCGCATATAATCACTGAAGTTTAGTCAACTCCTAGGTCGCATATAATCACTGAAGTTTAGTCAACTCCCAGGTCGCATATAATCACTGAAGTTTAGTCAACTCCCAGGTCGCATATAATCACTGAAGTTTAGTCAACTCCCAGGTCGCATATAATCACTGAAGTTTAGTCAACTCCCAGGTCGCATATAATCACTGAAGTTTAGTCAACTCCCAGGTCGCATATAATCACTGAAGTTTGGTCAACTCCCAGGTCGCATATAATCACTGAAGTTTGGTAAACTCCCAGGTCGCATATAATCACTGAAGTTTGGTCAACTCTCAGGTCGCATATAATCACTGAAGTTTGGTCAACTCTCAGGTCGCATATAAACACTGAAGTTTGGTCAACTCCCAGGTCGCATATAATCACTGAAGTTTGGTCAACTCTCAGGTCGCATATAATCACTGAAGTTTGGTTAACTCCCAGGTCGCATATAATCACTGAAGTTTGGTCAACTCCCAGGTCGCATATAATCACTGAAGTTTGGTCAACTCTCAGGTCGCATATAATCACTGAAGTTTGGTCAACTCTCAGGTCGCATATAATCACTGAAGTTTGGTTAACTCCCAGGTCGCATATAATCACTGAAGTTTGGTCAACTCCCAGGTCGCATATAATCACTGAAGTTTGGTCAACTCTCAGGTCGCATATAATCACTGAAGTTTGGTCAACTCTCAGGTCGCATATAATCACTGAAGTTTGGTCAACTACCAGGTCGCATATAATCACTGAAGTTTGGTCAACTCCCAGGTCGCATATAATCACTGAAGTTTAGTCAACTACCAGGTCGCATATAAGCACTGAAGTTTGGTCAACTCTCAGGTCGCATATAATCACTGAAGTTTGGTCAACTCCCAGGTCGCATATAATCACTGAAGTTTAGTCAACTACCAGGTCGCATATAAGCACTGAAGTTTGGTCAACTCTCAGGTCGCATATAATCACTGAAGTTTGGTCAACTCCCAGGTCGCATATAATCACTGAAGTTTAGTCAACTACCAGGTCGCATATAATCACTGAAATTTAGTCAACTACCAGGTCGCATATAAGCACTGAAGTTTGGTCAACTCTCAGGTCGCATATAATCACTGAAGTTTGGTCAACTCCCAGGTCGCATATAATCACTGAAGTTTAGTCAACTACCAGGTCGCATATAAGCACTGAAGTTTGTTCAACTCTCAGGTCGCATATAATCACTGAAGTTTGGTCAACTCCCAGGTCGCATATAATCACTGAAGTTTAGTCAACTACCAGGTCGCATATAAGCACTGAAGTTTGGTCAACTCTCAGGTCGCATATAATCACTGAAGTTTGGTCAACTCCCAGGTCGCATATAATCACTGAAGTTTAGTCAACTACCAGGTCGCATATAAGCACTGAAGTTTGGTCAACTCTCAGGTCGCATATAATCACTGAAGTTTGGTCAACTCCCAGGTCGCATATAATCACTGAAGTTTAGTCAACTACCAGGTCGCATATAAGCACTGAAGTTTGTTCAACTCTCAGGTCGCATATAATCACTGAAGTTTGGTCAACTCCAGGTCGCATATAATCACTGAAGTTTAGTCAACTACCAGGTCGCATATAAGCACTGAAGTTTGGTCAACTCTCAGGTCGCATATAATCACTGAAGTTTGGTCAACTCCCAGGTCGCATATAATCACGAAGTTTAGTAACTAATCAGGTCGCAATATAGCACTGTAGTTTGGTCAACTCTCAGGTCGCTTATAATCACTGAAGTTTGGTCAACTCCCAGGTCGCATATAATCACTGAAGTTTAGTCAACTACCAGGTCGCATATAATCACTGAAGTTTGGTCAACTCCCAGGTCGCATATAATCACTGAAGTTTAGTCAACTACCAGGTCGCATATAAGCACTGAAGTTTGGTCAACTCTCAGGTCGCATATAATCACTGAAGTTTGGTCAACTCTCAGGTCGCATATAATCACTGAAGTTTGGTCAACTCTCAGGTCGCATATAATCACTGAAGTTTGGTCAACTCTCAGGTCGCATATAATCACTGAAGTTTGGTGAACTCTCAGGTCGCATATAATCAAACCAGTCACCAGTTTTGGAAACTTTAATTCACAAAAAAAATATATTGCGACAGGTTATGTTCATGGTTTATCTTGGATAATGTCCAGATGTGTGATAATGAGAAACTGAATAACTTTCTCACTGATGAAATCACTTAATGAATAAACTCGTGTAATTTTTATTTACATTGTTATTAAATACGTTAATGTTACAACTTAAAAAAACAGAAAATTCCTCCGGTATCCTATATACACAGACTAATACAATCTTAAATATTCGTCGATGTATAATATTTACACTGTGATATTCCCACTGAGTTTAGTTTCCTCCACCTCCTTAAAGAACCATTAAAAGATCATCATCTTTCAAGGAGAAGTGTCGTGATGTTCTTGAGTCTTCACTCAATAAACTGACGTCACACCCCCTTTGAATCCAGCTGCCAAGGGAGGGAATCTTCCCCCAACTATTAAACCATGCAAAAAAATATATTTTTTTTTTGTATATTAGTAAATCTTTTGCATTACACTCCCGTATTATAGGCTTTCCTGAACCCTTAATTTTAAAGTGGTGGATGGGTAAGCCAGTGGAAGGCCTCTGTGAGATGATCAAACACTTGAGGATGGTCATCATTTGACTAAGACCCACATCAGGAAATACTTGTTCTGTTTCCTGGCGAATATTACCTAACCTAACCTAACCTAACCTAACCTAACCTAACCTAACCTGACCTAACCTAACCTGACCTCATCTAACCAAACCTAACCTAACCTAACCTAACCTAACCTAACCTAACCTAACCTGACCTCACCTCACCTAACCTAACCTAACCTAACCTAACCTAACCTAACCTAACCTAACCTGACCTCACCTCACCTAACCTAACCTAACCTAACCTAACCTAACCTGACCTCACCTCACCTAACCTAACCTAACCTAACCTAACCTAACCTAACCTAACCTAACCTGACCTAACCTAACCTAACCTAACATAACCTAACCTAACCTAACCTAACCTGACCTAACCTAACCTAACCAAACCTAACCTAACCTAACCTAACCTAACCTAACCTAACCTAACCTAACCAAACCTAACCTAACCTAACCTAACCTAACCTAACCTAACCTAACCTGACCTCACCTCACCTAACCTAACCTAACCTAACCTAACCTAACCTAACCTGACCTGACCTGACCTCACCTCACCTATCCTAACCTAACCTAAACTAACCTAACCTAACCTGACCTCACCTGACCTAACCTAACCTAACCTAACCTAACCTAACCTAACCTAACCTGACCTAACCTAACCTAACCTAACCTAACCTAACCTAACCTAACCTAACCAAACCTAACCTAACCTAACCTAACCTAACCTAACCTAACCTAACCAAACCTAACCTAACCTAACCTAACCTAACCTAACCTAACCTAACCTAACCTAACCAAACCTAACCTAACCTGACCTAACCTAACCTAACCTAACCTAACCTAACCTAACCTAACCTAACCAAACCTAACCTAACCTAACCTAACCTAACCTAACCTAACCTAACCTAACCAAACCTAACCTAACCTAACCTAACCTAACTTAACCTAACCTAACCTAACCAAACCTAACCTAACCTAACCTAACCTAACCTAACCTAACCTAACCTAACCAAACCTAACCTAACCTAACCTAACCTAACCTAACCTAACCTAACCTAACCTAACCCAAATCCTTAAAGTATATAACCAATGTTTTTGGAAGTTTGATCATTGTGGAATGATGTTATAATATTCAAGTGTAGATTAAAAAAAAAAAAAAAAAAAAAAAACACCTAACCTAAAATATGTCTGGAGGTGTGTTGTGTAAGTCTCCTTACACCTGATTCCTTCGTTCACCTACCAGTAGATAGCTGCCTTAATATTGTAGGTCCTGTTCTGTTGGAGGAACCTGGGAACCACTAAAGAAATAAGCCAGTCTGCCTTGAGTTAATAATTTAGAAAAAGCCCTTTTTCTTCTTTGTTTTCTTTCTTCTTTTTCTTCTTCTTCTTCTTCTTTCTTCTTTCTTTCGTTTTCTTGTACTTTTTGAGATACAATATATGGGCTGGAGCAATAACGTCACTAGTGTGTGTTTAAAATGGGGTCAGAAAATTTAAAAAACTGATTGAGATGTGTAACACTTAGAGTTGTGTAAGACTTAGAGTTGATTGCGTGTCGTGTGTATCTCAGATTTTACAGAGTGAACGATTGTTTGGAATATGTTAATGTAATCCTTGAAGTGTGTATACACATTCATTAGCTAACCGCTAGAAGCTGGGATTTATAAGCTATAAACCACGACTTACACCTAACAATATGTGCCACAGCTCACATCTAACATGAAGCTGGGATTTATAAGCTGTAAACTACGACTTACACCTAACAACATGTGCCACAGTTCGCAGCTAACATGAAGCTAGGATTTATAAGCTATAAACCACGACTTATACGACTTACAATATGTGCTACAGTTCACAGTTAACATGCCCAAACATCAACGAGCATATTACTAAAGATATTGTTTTATAGAAATTAAAGCTAAAAGTCGTTACTGCTCAAAGGACCTCAAACCAGTAGACATTCAGTGAAGGGAAATAGCTATTAGTGACAAGTGATGTTGGTAGTGTAAAAGAAGATATACAGTTGGAGTCGATTATGCCTCCAACACCAAATGCTGTGGACGTCAGGATGGGGTGGTCCTACATAAGGCGGGTCAGCAGCCTACTTGGGCTAAGTGTCCGCAGCAGTTCCAGCTTCCACGAACAAACCTCCAGCATAGACCACCACATCGCCTCCATCTACTACAAGTCTAACATGTGAGTCATGTCCCTCACTAACCCTTCCTCTTTAAAACTTCCTCATGAACGAAAATATTTATCGATGGTACACAATCCTGACAAGCTGATGAATAAGACACAGGTGTAACACTCAGGTGCCTTAATGATATTCAGGTACATTTATTGACTTTTTGTTCTCTAAGGAAATGTTGAGTTTAACCTGAGGAGACTGAAACTATGACGATGTTTCGGATCATTAACAAATCAAATACGGTATTGTGACTTCTTACTCTTGTTTTGTGAAATTAGTAAAATGCAAATTAGTTTGAGCACGTCTTACATAGGCTCTCCTACATTGCTCCCCAGATCATCGTGCCCCAATGCAATCTTTTGTTAGTGTCCCTTGATCACCTAATATAATCAACATACTCCCTTCCCTTTCTCATCTTTCTTCCATCTCTAAATTCTCCATGTTCCTCGCCTATATCTAGTACTTAGTGGATGAGAGGAGGTGGCCAAGTTTTATCTGGAGATTAACTATGGACACATCTTAACAACAGCCTCTCAGTGTGGAGATGCTTCTTAGTTGATGTGTGATGAGAGGTTGTTAAGGTATGTGATAGGAAACTATTTACGTGAGGTTTTGATATTTGGTGACAGAGAACCATCCTGCGTGGTTTTGATGTATGGTGACGTAGAAATATCCGCGTGTAAATGCTGATGTTGGTGTGGGGGGCCAACCCGGTGATGAACTGCTACCAAGTCAATTTTTCTGTCTTATGAGTTCCTTCCCCTTTTTTTCTCAGTTTTTGATTGAAAATGGTTTCAAGAAGAACCGAACGTGTCCTGCAGAGCGAACAAAAAGGCACATTACCGTAATGGAACAAAACCAAAAAACCCCCAATAGGAGAGAGGAGTTATGGGGCGACGTTTCGGTCGACCTGGGGCCATTTTTAAAGTCACACTCTCTACCATGTAGGGTTATTGTGTAGTGTGTCGTTTACACTATCCCCTCCAAAAATTTTGGGTTTTTTTTGACTTGTTCCCGCTATAAAAATTGTGATTTTTTTTTCTAGTTAAATCATGTTTTTAAAATTGTAACAAACGTCATGAAAAATAGGGGAGTAGAAGCACAATGCAAACCCTATTTAAAATTGTTAATTTTAAGGAGGATTTTGGTTTTCGGTTTGGGGGAGGGTGTGGATGAGGGAAAAGGGGGGGTGAGGGAAAGGGGGGGTGAGGGAAAGGGTGGGTGAGGGAAAAAGGGGGTTGAGGGAAGGGTGGTTGGGGGGGGGGGGAAGGGTGGGTGAGTTTTAATGGGTAAAGGTGGGGGGAGGAAAGGGGGGAAATTAAATTTTTGGTGGGGAATGGGTGAGTGAAGGGTGGGTGGGGGAAGGGTGGGTGGGGAAGGGTGGGTGAGGAAGGGTGGGTGGGAGGGGGGGTTGGGGGGGTGGGTGAGGGAAGGGGGGGTGAGGGAAGGGTGGGTGAGGGGAGGGGGGGTGAGGGGAAAGGGTGGGGGGAGGGAAGGGGGGGTGAGGGGGGTGGGGAGGGAAGGGGGGGGGGAGGGTGGGTGAGGGAAAAGGGGGGGTGGGGAAAGGGTGGGTGGGAGGGGGGGGGGAAAGGGGGGGTTGGGGGGGGGGGAGGGAGGGTGGGTGGGGAAAGGGGGGGGGGAATGGGTTGGGGGGTGGGTGGGAAGGGTGGGGAGGGAAGGGTGGGGGGGGGGAAGGGTGGGGGGGTGGGGAAGGGTGGGTGAGGGGGAAGGGGGGGTGAGGGAAGGGTGGGTAGGGAGGGTGGGTGGGGAAGGGTGGGTGAGGGAAAGGGGGGGTGAGTGAAGGGTGGTGGGGAAGGGGGGTGAGGGAAGGGTGGGGGGGGGTGGGGAAGGGTGGGTGAGGGAGGGTGGGTGAGGGAAGGGTGGGTGGGGGAAAAGGGTGGGTGAGGGAAGGGGGGGGGGGTGGGGAAGGGAAGGGTGGGTGAGGGAAGGGTGGGTGAGGAAGGGTGGGTGAGGGAAGGGTGGGTAGGGGGAAAAGGGGGTGGGGGGGGAGGAGGGGGGTGAGGGAAGGTGGGTGAGGAGGGTGGGTGAGGGAAGGGTGGGTGAGGGAAAAGGGGGGGGGGGAAGGGTGGGGGGGAAGGGGGGGTGTGGGAAGGGTGGGGAGGGGAAGGGTGGGTGAGGGAAAAGGGGGGTGAGGGAAAGGGGGGTGGGGAAAAGGGGGGTGGGGAAGGGTGGGGGGGAAGGGGGGGTTGGGGAAAAGGGGGGTGGGGGGGGAGGGTGGGTGGTGAAGGGGTGGGTGAGGGAAGGGGGGGGTTTTGGGGAAAAAGGGTTGGGGGGGGGGGAAAAAGGGGGGTGGGGAAAGGGGGGGGGAAGGGGGGGGTGAGGGAAAGGGTGGGTGAGGGAAGGGTGGGTGAGGGAAAAGGGGGGTGAGTGAAGGGTGGGTGAGGGAAGGGGGGGTTTTGGGGGGAAGGGGGGTGAGGGGAAGGGGGGGTGGGGGGGGGGGAAAGGGGGGTGGGTGAGGGGAAAGGGGGGGGTGGAAAAAGGGGGGGTGAGGGAAGGGTGGGTGAGGAAGGGTGGGGGGGGAAGGGTGGGTGAGGGAAGGGTGGGTGAGGGAAGGGTGGGGGGGAGGGAAAGGAAGGGTGGGTGAGGGAAGGGTGGGTGAGGGAAAAAGGGGGGGTGTGAGGGGAAAGGGTGGGTGAGGGAAGGGTGGGGGGGAAGGGTGGGGGTTGAAGGGTGGGTGAGGGGGAAAGGGGGGGTGAGGGAAGGGTGGGTGGGGAAAAAGGGGGGGGGGAGGGAAGGGTGGGTGAGGAAAGGGGGGGGGTGGTGAAGGGTGGGGAGGGAAGGGTGGGTGGGGAAGGGTGGGTGAGGGAAGGGTGGGGAGGGAAGGGGGGGGTGAGGGAAGGGTGGGTGAGGGAAGGGGGGGAGGGAAGGGTGGGTGAGGGGGGGGGTGGGGTGGGGAGGAAAGGGGGGGTGAGGGAAGGGGGGGAGGGAAGGGTGGGGGAGGGGAAAGGGGGGTGAGGGAATTTAAAGGGTGGGTGAGGGGAGGGTTGGGTGAGGAAGGGTGGTGGGGAAAAAGGGTGGGTGAGGGAAAAGGGGGGGTGAGGGAAGGGTGGGGTTGAAGGGGGGTGAGTGAAGGGGGGGGTGAGTGAAAGGGTGGGTGAAGGAAGGGTGGGTGAGGAAGGGTGGGTGGGGAAGGGTGGGGGGGAAGGGTGGGTAGGGAAAGGGTGGGTGAGGAGGGTGGGTGGGGAAGGGTGGGTGAGGAAGGGTGGGTGAGGGAAGGGTGGGTGAGGAAGGGTGGGTAGGGGGAAAGGGGGGTGAGGGGAAAGGGGGGGTGGGAAGGGGGGGGGTGAGGGGAAAAGGGTGGGTGAGTGAAGGGTGGGTGGTGAAGGGGGGTGAGTGAAGGGGGGGGGGGGGAAGGGTGGGGAGGGAAGGGTGGGTGGGGGAAGGGTGGGTGAGTGAAGGGTGGGGGAGGAAAAGGGGGGGTAGGGAAGGGTGGGTGAGGGGAAAGGGGGGGTAGGGAGGGTGGGGTTTTAGGGGAAGGGGGGGGTGAGGGAAGGGGGGTGAGGAAAGGGGGGGTGAGGGAAGGGTGGGTGAGGGAAAGGGGGGGTGGGGAGGGTGGGTGAAGGAAGGGTGGGGGTGAGGGAAGGGGGGTGAGGGGAAGGGTGGGTGGGGAAGGGTGGGTGAGTGAAGGGTGGGTGAGGGAAGGGGGGGGGGGGGAAGGGTGGGTGAGGGAAGGGTGGGTGGGGAAAGGGGGGGTGAGGGGAAAGGGTGGGTTTGAGGGGGGAAGGGTGGGTGAGGAAAGGGTGGGGGGAGGAAAGGGTGGGTGAGGGAAGGGTGGGGGAAGGAAGGGGGGGTGATGGAAGGGTGGGTGAGTGAAGGGTGGGTGAGGGAAGGGTGGGTGGAGGGAAGGGTGGGTGAAGGAAGGGTGGGTGAGGGAAGGGTGGGTGAGGGAAGGGTGGGTGAGGGAACAGATAAGTGGTGTGGACGTGCTTCACGTCCAATGATGCCAAGGTGAGTGGAGCATAATCTCTGGGCTGGGTCTTGACCTACTTTACCTTCTCTTCCTGTTTACTCACCAAGTGTCCAGGAAATTTTTTCGCACATTGATAATAATTTGTGGCAAGATGGCAGACTTTTCTTCCTAAGAGCACAGGTATTATTATTATTATGTATTATTACTATTATTATTATTATTATTATTATTATTATTATTATTATTATTATTTTACTATTATTATTATTATTTTTATTATCATTATTATTTTATTGTTATTATTATTATTATTATTATTATTATTATTTATTATTTTATTATTATTATTATTATTATTATTTTTATTATTATCATTATTATTTTATTATTATTATTATTATTATTATTATCATTATTATTATATTATTTATTATTATTATTATTATTATTATTTATTATTATTATTATTATTATTTATTATTATTTTTATTATTATTATTATTATTATTATTAATTATTATTATTTTTTATTATTATTATTATTATTATTATTATTATTATTATTATTATCATTATTTTTATTATTTATTATTATTATTATTATTATTATTATTATTATTATTATTATTATTATTATTATTATTATTATTATTATCATTATTTTTATTATTATTATTATTATTATTATTATTATTATTATTATTATTCATTATTTATAATTATTATTATTATTGTTATTTTTATCATATATTTTCCTGTATATATACTTTAACATTTTAGCAGCTAAGATGCCGCCATTAAACTGACTCTCACAGTTATTAAACCTTCAAAATAATGTGAAAATATGTCATTCTAAAATCAAGCTACTTCTTAATACATACACACAGTGATCATAACATATTATCCCAACATATATTTCCAGAAATTGTAAACAGAACTCTGGCTATTTTTGAGGCCGAAGTTTTTTCCTCTCCAAATTAACAAATGATTAAATTCTTCCTTCGAATGTGAAAATGCTCAGTATATATATTTTATATATATATATATATATTATATATATATATATATATATATTTA